TCCCAGAAACACACTCTGAAGAAACACTTGCTCATGTTTATCAGAGTACAAGTCCATGAATGTTCATACCAGCAGTGCTGATGAGAGCCAGAAGTGGGAACAATCCAAATGTCCATCAGCAGTTAAATGGACTACATTGTGGTATATTTGAACAATAAAATATTACACAGTAACCAAAATAAACAAATTGTCTTAGACATAATATGGATTAATCTCTTAAAAACAAAAAGAATATCACAAAACAATTATCAGAGCCTGATTTTATTCATTTAAAGTTCAAAAATCAGCAAAACAATTTATTAGAGCATGATTTTATTCATTGAAAGTTCACAAACCAGAATGGTTTAGGAATGCATATACATGGGTTAAAACTACAAAAAAGGAAAGAAACAATCACTTCTCACTTCTAAGTGGAAAAAGTTGGAATTGTGAAGGGGTGTATGAGGGGTTATGGGGTGCTAGAAATGAACATTTCCTTCCACTCTGTGGTGGTTATAGAGATGTTTGCTTTGTAATCATTATTAAGTTGTACATAATGTTTCATATACTCCTCTCATATCTCACCATTTTTTAAATGGCAATAAATTGCCAGGTCCTGTAGGATATTCCTTTCATTTGGAACTTCTTAATATTCTAGTTCTTATGGCAAACAGTCTTAAAAGAATATATCCTTTTTTGATTTGGATCTTTTAAAAAATTACTTTACGTATGTATTTGTTTATTTAGAAACATGTCTTGCTCTGCTGCCCAGGCTGGAGGACAGTGGCACAATCATAGCTCGCTGCTACCTTGAACTCCTGGACTCAAGTGATCCACCCACCTCAGGCTCCAGGGTAGATGGGACTACAGGTGCACGGCATCACACTCAGATAATTTTTTATTTTTATTTTTGGTAGAGATGGGATCTCGCTATGTTGCTCAGGCTGGTCTCAGAACTCCTGGTCTCAAGCAATTCTCCTGCCTTAGCTCCCCAAAGGGCTGGGATTACAGGCATGAGCCACTGTGCCAGCCTTGATTTCAGTCTTTTTCACTGGATAAGGATATAATATGATCAATCCCACAATCCTTACATTGCAATTTATAAGAGATATTTCATCAGTAGGTAATGAAAAGGAAAAGACAAAATTAGGTCAACTAAAGGCTTCACTTTTGGGGTAGGTTCAGTGTGTGAAACTTGCTAGGCACTGGGTGGGAATGCACTGCTGTCAAAATAGGCCCTGGCAGCTATTGCTGGAGCTGACTGAGGGAGGAAGGGTTTCTCCATCTTTTGTCTTGGGAAGAATAATTTACTGTAGGCCACCTGGTAGATAAGATGTAGGATGTTGTGAAATTTAGAGTTCCAAGATGTTTTTCGGTCAGAGACATTAAAGTATTTGACTAATTCTATTTTTGGATACTTCCCTCAGGACTTGCTTCTTTAGACAGTTCATTGAGCACTGATATTTCTAGCCATGGCTTTGGATAGGGCAAGGAGACCATTCTTAACTTTATGCCTTGTAAGTTTATTATCTGGCCAGTACTAATACAATGTAGAATCATCTCTTATTACGGCTGGGCGCGGTGGCTCACGCCTGTAATCCCAGCACTTTGGGAGGCTGAGGCGGATGGATCATGAGGCCAAGAGATTGAGACCATCCTGGCCAACATGGTGAAACTCCATCTCTACTAAAAATACAAAAATTAGCTGGGTGTGGTGGCGTGCGCCTGTAGTCCCAGCTACTTGGGAGGCTGAGGCAGGAGAATTGCTTGAACCCCGGAGGTGGAGGTTGCAGTGAGCCGAGATCACGCCACTGCACTCCAGCCTGGCGACAGAGCGAGACTCTGTCAAAAAAGAAAAAGAAAAAGAAAAAAGAATCATCTCTTATTACAATGTGGTTGTTTTTCAGCAAATATTAATAGCAGATTCTACATTCAAATCTCTTTAAAGATTAAGGGTTCAGGACAGCATAAAGCTGAATGATGATGAAGAATCATTTGGTAAAGCAGCAAATAAATACATGCTGAGTGTAGAAATGCTTCTTTAGTCCATGATGCAGACTGTTTGGGCCAGGCCCAGAGCAGTGGTGACTTCTGCCAAACAGCAGTGACCTTGTTCCCACCAAGAAACAACTTACTGTGCCTCAGTCTCACCATGTTTATTCAAAGTGATCTTTGCTATTAGTAGTCCTGAGTTTCAAGATTAAAATGTCAAATATTGAGGGTCACTAGTGACAACTGTATCTCTTATACTCACAAAGGCACATGGTGTAAGAAGGGAAAAGTCTGACCCAGTAATAAAAAGCCGGTGTTCACATTAAACTACATCATCTAGGGAGGATCTGTACCCTACCTTTAGTTCTGCCTTTATTGATGTGTAACCTTGGATTAATAATGTAACCTCTTTAACTTTCAATTCCTCATTTGTAAATGTGAGTGAGGTGTTTCATGGGTATCCTGGAAACTTGTGAAAATGAAATGAAAGATGCAAAGCTGCTTTGTTGACTTGTAAAAGTCTACACCAGGGTAAGGTTACTTTTTAAATTTTTCTAATTATACATTTAATATTTATTTTTCATTACTGCAACCCCAAAGATCAAAAGTACATGAAATTTAAAAAAAATTCCTGCACCAGTCTTAGTCCTCAGAAGGGACCACATTTGACAATCTAGTGCTTACTTTTCTACACTTTATGAATGTGTGTGCATGTGTGTGGGAGCTGATGGAGGGGGGTAACAAAAAAGGGATAATATCTTACTAACCAGTAAAATGTTATGTAGTAATTTTTAAATTAGGTAAATTGTCATATACTGACATGGAATAATGATGTTTTATGTGAAAAGTTACAGAACAACACTTATGATAATGTTATGCAAACACAGAGTTCATACATGGCTACCTCTGATAAGAATGTATTGCAAAGGAATGAGGTAATTATACTTTTTACTTCTCACCATTCTCTACCATTACAATTTTCTTCTTAAGCATATATATTTTCACAATAATTATTAAAGACTGTGCAAGAGGATGTGGAGCATAAATCAACAAAATGAAGATAATATGATACTAATGAAGATGCAAGTATAAGTGATAGAACATAAAAAATGTTTTGAAAGGGAAGAATGTACAAAAAGATATTGGAGGCCAGGCACAGTGGCTCACATCTGTAATCCCAGCACTTTGAGAGGCTGAAGTGAGCAGATTGCTTGAGCCCAGGAGTTCGAGACCAGCCTGAGTAACATGGCAAAACTCCATTTCTACAAAAAGTACAAAAATTAGCTGGGCATGTTGGCACATGCCTGCAGTCCCAGCTACTCAGAAGGCTGAGACGGGAGGATTATTTGAGCCAGAGAGGCAGAGTTTGCAGTGAGCCAAGATCTTGCCACCGCACTCCAGCCTGGGCAAGAGAGTGAAATTCTGTCTCAGAAGGAAAAGGAAAAGGAAATTGGAAAATGAAATAAAGGAAGTAAAAATGAAAGTAGGCACGATATGATTTTCAAAAGCATTCCTTTAGGGAATAGAAAAAAACTGACCATGCTGTTTCTGCTGCGAGCTTTTTTGTTATACTTGACTCTCAACAACAGGATATTCTGCCCTGCAGATTAGTTATTTTTAACTGCCTTATGCAGGAAAAGTTAACAGAACCAGCATAAGCATTTCACAAAAAGAGGAAGAATGGCTAAATATGACCAGTGCTCAATTGTTTTATAGTTTAAAGCTTTATATCTCTTTTTAAAATTCAAAAAACAGCCATATATTTGGTGAATGGGCAGGAATGGCAAGCTAATAGAAGACAAAGATCTCTGAAAAGTCCTGGCATTATAAAGTTACAGAATTTTATATATAGATATAATTGCTCTCACGAAATCTTTAGAGTCTTTCTATCAACAAATCCTGTCACATCTACATATAAACTCTACCTTGAATCTATCCAGTTTTTCCATTTTGGTCCCCATTCACTCAGTTCAAGTTCACTCCCACCTATTTCTACTGCAGTGGCCTCCTGATTAGTCTCTACTTCTACCCTGGCTCTCTTGCTTCCTGTGTTGTTCCTTTTCTCTCAAAATAAAGCAAACCATCTTCCGAAAATGTTCATATGATGAAAACCAAAATCGTACTCGTGGTTTCCAGGCACTGCACACTCAGTCCCTTGCTCATGTTTTCAGCTGACTTTTAGGTTTCCAACTCTGCTAAAATCTTTCTTACCCCAGTCTTTGCACATACTGTTACTTCAGTATGACTGAAATGCTTCTTCTTGCTATCCTACAGGATTTGGTTTTTTAAAAGCTTCCCCAAATCCTTTCTCCCCTAATCTAAATCAGGTCACGATTTGTATTTATTTGTATGGTATGGGTTTTATCTGACTTCCCAACTCTGTTGAAGCTGCATAACAACTACTTAGGGCTCATAAAACTATCCTCTCTACTTCGGTGTTTATTTTAAATTTACCATAACATATAAGCTTTAACAATTTTCCTCTGATCCTACAAATTAAAAAAAAAAAACAAACCATTGTAGCCTGCAATTCTCATAACTACTTTTTCAAATTTTGTATTTTACAAAGTTTATTTTCCTTTTCATGACTAATTTATTGTAACCTTAATAGAGTCATAAAATGCTCTAATTTTTGAATGACCACAGCAGGCTCAGCTAGAAGTCCAGTGTGTCATCCATTGTGCTATAGAGCCAGCTAGAATGCCATAATTTTAAAGTTCCTAACAAGATGTTGTGGGCAAGAAAATGAACTTGAAATTAACATTAGATAACCTAACAGAAATGTCTGAAGTTCAATTGTTCTGTCACTGTTTTTGCTCCAAAAGTCTTTTATTTGAAAAGGACTCTAGAGCAAGTATATAAGACTTCTTTTAGTTCTAGTTTTTACTTTGGATGAATCACTTTTTTTTGTTTGTTTTACATAATATTATAAATAAAATATATATGTAAATATTATATTATTATAAATAAAAATACATACATTTAATTTCAGATATAAAATTCCACAAATTGGAAATAAAAAACTCTCATAAAAATACCAATTTTTATTTTTTAATGAAGCAGTAATTCAATTTTTTTTTTCCTATTCATTCAAAAGGTCATAGCTCAGGAGTGCTATTTATACCAGTTGAATCTACAAAGCCAAGAATAGGAATCACTGTATCTCCTTCAGTAGACCTGATACTGTGAGTCTTCTCTTTTCTGTTAACATATTTGTGCAACAAGCTGTAGTACTGGTCCTTCAGGTTGAAAGTATACAGTGATGAAATTTGCTGCCACTCTTTAATGCTTGGAGTGTTGTATTCTTTTGGACGTGAGCCCTCAAAGAAACATTTAACATTCTCTTTTGCCAATTCAGTTGCATGCTCTGTGGCTTTACTTTTAAGGATCTGCTGCTCCTGTTCCAAATAGATTTTCCAGAATTTCAGCTGCAGAAAACTAACTGGAGATAGGCATCGGCTGACAGATGTAAAAATCAGAAGGACGATGATAACAAGAGCTATCAAGATCCAGCCCAATACCTTAAGAAAACACAACAGAAGAGTAATTTACTTTTTTTTTTTTTTACAAGACATTTAAAAATCCTCAGATAAAGTTTGAACTACTCGCCAGTTATGATGATGAACAAGCAACAGTTTTAGGTCTTAACTCCTTATGAATGAGGAGTCGCAGTAACCTCACTAGCCACCCCCCCCAGGGCAACTGCTGGCTTGGAAAGTCAACCGTAGTCCAAGTCGTGCACTATGACTCTGCCCAGGGAGGAGACCATGTCACTCCCTTAGAACTCAAAACGTGGAATTTCTGCAAATCCTGGGAAAGAAGTGTTCATTAATTTTAAAGAACCTCTGAGCTTTCTAAGCCCAGATACAATGTGGGGTGGTGGCTTTAGAACCAGACCACCCATTTTATTGTATAGACCTCTTTAATTGTCACAATTTTCTGCTTTCCTTTGGCTGGGCAAACTACTCTACCTAGACTCAGTGAAGTCACTATGTAGTGGATATACGAAACTGTTACTTGTAATGGCAAAACCGCAATTTTGCACCCAACACAGCTGTTGTGAGACGAAAAAATAATGCAGGAGGTCAATGGCCTAGCGCATTATCTGCAGAGTAGGTGTGCCCATTCTCACTCCCACTTTCCACGATTCATGTACAGTGCCAGGTACTACGGGAATAAATTTTTCTCTTTTTCATTCGTTTTATTCAGATATTCGCTTGTCAGCTCATGAGATGCAAGAAGTCATTCTAGATTTTTGTAGGGCATTGTATATCTGGAGAAAAGTCACTGATTTTTCTCTCACCCCGGCTGTCCCGCGAAACCTTGACCCCTCGGTTCCTTCCAAACGCCCCCAGCGCCTGCGCCTGACCTGCGACTGAGCCTTCAGATCCTTCAGGAGGTCCTGCACCTCGGACGCCTTGGCCTGGTGGCAGGGCACCAGCGGCAGCTCGTCGACGCAGCTGGAGGGGCGGCCACGGCACAAGCGCTGAGCGAAGGCCGCGCTCCCGCTGGCGGCGCACTCGTAAAAGGCGCCTCCGAGCAGCGCCACGGCCACCCAGGTGAGGGGCGCGAGCGCGGCGGCCGCGCTGAGTTGCGCGCACACCAGGTAGCCGCGCAGCCCCGACCGACAACACCCGCGGGCGCTGGGCGCGCAGCATCCGGTGAGCAGGCGCCACGTGCGCGCGCTCAGCATGTAGCCCAAGAGGAAGAGCGCGAGCGCCGGCACCAGCAAGAAGACCAGGCCGTAGGGAAGGTTCCAGGTAGCGCTGCACGGGCACTGGAACACCACGGTGGAGAAGATGCGCTCCCCGCCCGCGGTCAGCAGGGTCACCAGGCCGTAGCCCAGCGCGCTGTGGTGCTTGAGGTGTAGGTCCAGCACCGCCCGAAACTTCTCCATGGCCCTTGTCCTCCCAGATGCTTCCGCCTCTTCGCTGTCCTGCTTGTCAAATGGTTTGGGTGGGCTGAGGGCCGGGGCTTTCCACTCTGCCGAAAAAAGGGAAGAGGGCTTCTCAGTCCTTCCTATAGTTTCACTTTCTCATTTGGTCACACCAGCTCTAGTTAACAGACACCCTGGCAAACAAAAACAGCCCCAGGACCCTTGACCTCTCTGGCATCCCCCATTTCAAAGGCAGAGGCACCAGTTATCTTCCTCCACCAATTCAGTAACACTGACAGAAGATTGACCTTGGTACTTTGCTACCACCAATCTGACAACCAATCACGGGACTACGCCTTCTTGACCCAAGGCCTACAGTTGGGCAAACTGGGAAATACCAGATTTTCCTCTATTGCAGCCACCTTAGTTACTAAGACAGATCCTAGTAAAACCAAATAATTGTCAAAAACTGATTACCTGCGGGAAACATTATTCAAGGACAAATTTCTGGTTTCTCTTTCATAGGCTAAATCATAGCGAAGTCCAACTCAGGTTCTGGTACTTCTACGATGTGCGGCACCCTTCCTGTCTCCCTCCTGGAAAGAACTCCAGCCTAGTTCACACTGACTCTTCTCTCCTCTGCCTGATCTCCTTCAGGACATTAGGCCAAATATGCTGTATTGATTTACTCATCAATACAATGTTCTTTTCTTTCAGGTATGTCATAGCACTGTCAATGCCTGGAGGAAGGTCAAAGTCTGACTCTGACCACCAAGCTGATCAGCACAGAAGGTGTTGAACTGGTTCAAAGAATACTAGTTGAACCCAATTTCAAACTGCAGCTACATCTATCAAATATTGCTGTTTCCTCCACCTTCAGTCTTCTCAAGGCAGCGTTGCTCTGACACAAACACAAAAACCACTTCTGTGATACTGGGCTTTACTCTGTGTGACTCGAGTGAGCTGAGGTGTGCTTGAAAGAACATGGACTTTGAAGTCAGGTGCATTGTGTCTGTGGTGTGTTTAACAAGTATGCCCCTCTAAGACGCAGCATTCTTATTTGTAAAAGAAGGATAATAGTGCCCACTTTTGAGGATTATTGACATGAGTAGACTGAGTAGCATATATAAAGTGCCTTTACGTATAGAGTATGTCTATTAAATGAACGCTCAATGTGAGGGCTTACCCCTTACAGTGCAATTTGGGGAATAGACAACAAATAATTACATTGTACATAACTTAAAAATATAGATGAATACTGAATTTTGAATTTAAACCGAGGATCAATTCAGTGGATAATATTAAGTGACTCAGTGACTCTACTACCTTAAGAGAATTGATGTACACTTTAGCTCTCTGCTTCACCACAAGGAGGGTATCTGGATATGGAACTTGCAGGGGAAGTTCACAATGAAGTGTTTCTTATTGGTGCACATCCACTAGGCTTGCCTTATTTTATCTGGGAAGAATAGGTAACCCGTGGAACCATGTGAATTGCTAGAGAAGAGACAAGAAATGTATTATTATTGTCTTAGTCCAACTTGCCTTCTTAACTACTCCCCCTCCAACATCACCAAGAGTGTGCCTAGCATAGTGCCAAAACTATCATTCCATTGTGGTGTGGTAAATAGGTATCTTTTTCTGTGTGTTTAGAGGCCATCCCTAGATGAGGGTCTTCATGGTCATGCAGGAAAGTTGGGACCCTCTTCTCTGAGATTAGATGAGATACTGCCAGACTTCCTGTCAGCTTGCAGCAAAGTTGCATGTTTGAGGTGAATCACTTCTGCTATGACTATTATCTCTGTATTTTTTCATTTCCAAAGATAAAGTTCTTCCCTTGTGCCTTGAGTAACTCCCCTCTTACTGCTGAACTCTTCTTCACCCCCACCATAATACATTAAGATGTATCCTTCCTCCTCCACTCTTCCTATATTCCATCATGAACAAACTTCAGTATATCCACAACCTTTGTGCAGATGGCTTTATCTAAATATCCCCTATTGAAACATAATAAAAATACACATTTCTGTCTTCTTGAGTGAGATTAATTTATTCTCCCACATTTCTTAAATCAAGAGGGAAGGCTGGCATTTTCCTGGTTACCTACTGATAGCCATACCAGGGTTTTACCACTGTGCTGTAATAGTTTATAATCCACTGAGGCTCAATCTAAACAGCACTCAGTGACTCTACTACCTTAAGAGAATTGGTGTACACTTAGTAGCTCTCTGCTTCACCACAAGGAGGGTATCTGGATTTGGAGCTTGGGCAGGGAGTTCACAATGAAATGGTTCTTATTGGTGCCCATCCACTAGGCTTGCTTTATTTTATCTGGGAAGAATAAAATAAGGCAAGCCTTATTCCTATGGTCTGCTTTTGTTCTCTTCATTTATTAAGACTCTAATGAAGTCCATCACCTTCTCTTCTCTGGCTTCTGTTTTTTAGTCGAGGATTTGTTTGAAATATGTTTACTTAGAGAAACTGTCATCTATCAGCCCCTTCCCCAGCTAGATTAATTCATTTGTTAAGCAGTTATTAGTTAGTTCATTTGTTCATTCAGTCATTAATTTAAATGTTTAATAAACACTCAGAATATGTCAGGTACCTATCAAAAGTGCCTGATATTACTGGATACAACAAGGAACGAGACAAACAGCTATCCTGCTCTCTAAACTTACGGTAGGGAGGATATAGGAAATGGAGAGGACAGGTCCTAAAGATTATGCACAGGATAAATTGGAGTGATGTTAGAGAGTGTCCTAAAACAGCCTCTATGAGAAAATGACATTTAATCTGAATGAGTCCGAGCTACAAAGGAGCTTGGTTGGAAAGAAGGCCAGTGGGATAAGAGCATTGAGAATGGCAGGCAAGTTGGCACATCTTGCTGTGCTGTGGAAGGTCAGGTTTAGGTGCTTCATAGACCAGAATATGTAGTCTGCAATTCTGCCTCTGAAACTTATCACAGACTGAGCTGCATCCTGATGTATTGTTTCGTCAGCATGTGTCTCTAAACACCACCTCCTTGGTTTGCTACTTCTGTGCTCTCCCAATCACAAATCTCCCAGATATAATGATTATTCAGAACTTAGTACAGGTTTCTATAATTGAGAGTCCAGGTTTTGCCTGCCAGCTTGAATGTTTCTCCAGCAACTGGCCTTGAGTCTAGTACTCTGCCATCTACTCCCACCACCTCTGGATTGGCTATTTCCAGCTTTGGGTCTATTGAAGATTCCTAGCCCTCCATACCCAGCTCTGTTCTGAGAGGATATTGCTCAGAAGTTCAGCCCTTAGTGGAAATTGACAAACACCCTAATGGTGTGGACAGGTAGACTAAATAATGTTTTAAACGCCTTTGCACTTTTGAAAGTCTGTGATTTGCTTTAGCTGTTAAATGAGTCGTAGAGTCTCACATTAAGTACAGTGTGAAGCCAATCGTTATGGGTTTTCTTTGGTTTCCTTTAACTGTAGTACTTTGTTTTTCTATGTAGTACTTTGTTTTCTATTCACTATCATTTTCAATGTCAGGAATGGGTTTCAGAAACCACAGAACATTTCTCGGAAAAGAAACTTCCTGAAAGTAAATGCACATACATGCTGTGAATCTGAAAGTGTCTTGCAATTATCTTCATGTGTGCTAGTTCTCAAACATTGTTCTCTGCAGCTCTCAGAAGGATGCAGACTCATGGCATGACACTGTTTGGACTATGACAGCTAGATTCTAATACAGCATTAATCTTGGCTCCAGGACTCTCCAAAAAGAGGAAAATCAAATTAAGATTCAAATATCTTCAGTAACATGTGCAAGAAGAAGTGCCAGATGCCAAATTAACAAGTTAGTTTTCAAAATCTGACACTCTTACACTTAAAGGGAATATCTTTCTGAATGTTACAATGTGTGGATATATTGCTCAAGTTAGATAACATATTTGAAAATATGGAACATACTATTATCTTGAGATATTTTAAATGTCTATAAAACTTTTTCCAATGGAAGTGTAAAGCAAAAGGAAGGAAAGATTAGACCCTTTCCTTGGCAAAGAGATGTCGTTTGTTAAATGGCAGTCCCATGACATTTCAGAAAAGCCTTTTAAAATTTTTTTCCTTCCTTAGCATGAATTTCCTAAGCCTATCACAGAAGTTTAAATATTTAGTGATTAACACACTAATTTTTTTTCTTGCAGCAGATAGTTATTTTAATTTTGTTTAAAAAAAAACATAGCCAAATTAAATTTAACAGAGTTTAATTGAGCAAGGAATGATTCATGAATCTGGCAGCCTCTTGAGCTAGAGTTGGCTCAGAGAGAATCCCGGGGAAGATTTATAGACAAAAAAAGGAAAGTGAGGTACAGAAAATGGAAGTGAGGTATAGAAACAACCTAATTGGTTACAGCTTGACATTTACCTTATTTGAATACAGTTTGAACAGCTCACCCCTTTTGATTGGCCAAAACTTGTTGAATAGCACAACGGTAGGTTACAGTCTGCTTACATTACAGAGAAACCTTTAGGCTGAACTTAAAATACATAAGGAGGTAGCATTAGGCTAAACTTGATTTAACAACTTAGAGAGCCTTGATACGGCCAAGTCTCTCTTGGCATCATCATTGCCACCATTGTTGTTGTCACCACCATCAGCAACATCATTTGATACTCTGAGGCGATTAAAGATCCTAGTGAATTTTCCTTCTGTGCTTTTAAAAGCCTATGTCTATGAGCAATTTTGGTGAAACAATGTTTTCTCTATGTCTTAGTCTTTCAGTCTGCTATAACAAAATACCTTAGACTGGGTAATTTATAAACAAAAAATTATTTCTCACAGTACTGAGGGGTGAGAAGCCCAAGACCAAGATGCTAGCGGATTTGTTGTCTTGTAAGAGCCTACTCCTCATAGATGGCAACTTTCCTGTGTCCTCACATGGTGGAAGAGACAAGGCACCTCCCTTCAACCTCTTTTTTTTTTTTTTTTTGGGACGGAGTTTCGCTCTTGTTACCCAGGCTGGAGTGCAATGGCATGATCTCGGCTCACCGCAACCTCTGCCTCCTGGGTTCAGGCAGTTCTCCTGCCTCAGCCTCCTGAGTAGCTGGGATTACAGGCACGCGCCACCATGCCCAGCTAATTTTTTGTATTTTTAGTAGAGACGGGGTTTCACCGTGTTTACCAGGATGGTCTTGATCTCTTGACCTCGTGATCCACCTGCCTCGGCCTTCCAAAGTGCTGGGATTACAGGCTTGAGCCACCGCGCCCGGCCCTCAACCTCTTTTATAAGGGCACTAATCCCATTCATGAGAGTGAAGCCCTCATGATTTAATCACTTCTCAACAGACCTTACCTCTTAATACTATTGTATTGGATATTAAGTCACAGCATATGATTTTTAGGGGACACCAACATTCAGACCATATCACCCATTAAATCAAATTGTTATTTCAAAGTTGAGAGAGAGACAGAGAGAGGCACAGAAAGAGAGAGATAATCACAATATATATGAACAATATATTCACAGATTTGTATATCCACAATATATATCCAGAATATATCCACAAATTTTAACATTCAGAAAGATACTCCCTTTAGGATTAGGCGTGTCAGATTTTATAAATTAACTTGCTAATTTTGGCATCTAGCATTGCATCTTGTACATGATACCTAAGATATTTGAATCTTAACTTGATTTTACTTTCTGTGGAGGGTCTGGGGCCAAGATTAATTCTGAATTAGAATCTAGCAGTCATATTCCAAGCAGGGTCATGTCATTAGTCTGCATTCTTATGAGAGTGGCAGAGAGCAATGTGTGATACCGTATGATAGAGCTTTGTGGTCCATGGGCACTTATCATCACAATCCCAATTCCCCTGAACTCAAATTTGCTTTACTAATTTATTATATATGATAAAAGATATGAGTTTCCAAAGAAAACAGTAATAAATACCAAGATTAAAGAGTAAGAATGAAGAAAATAAAAATAATTAAACAAAATTTTGAGTTCTTCAAATTATAGATGACATTATTACAAAATCTCAGAAATTTAAATGAACTCTATGGAGAGCATAAACTGTCATGGAAGATCTGTCCAGAAAGAATGAATCACTTGAAACTTGCTGCATTGTCAAGTAGTAGAGTACTATTTAAATAAATAAATAAATAAAATTATGTAATATTTGTGCATAGAATACAAAATAGATCCATACCATTGAGGTAGATCTGTATGTACTGGTATGGATGAAAAGACATGGAAGACATACTAATTGGAAAAGGTAAGCAAAAACATTTCATGCAATCCATTTGTATACAAAAGAAACTTTACTTTGCAATAAAGCAAAATAATGGAATAATGTCTTGAAAAGAACTGTTGTTTTTTTGTCAATAGCTTAGCTATTGACAAGTTTAGCCTGCTGGAATCAAAGAGATAAGAAGGTTACTAAAATTTGGGAGAGATTTACAGTCAAAGTTTGACTCACAAACCTAAGTACACCTATGGTCTTGTGACATGCACATAAGTAGGACATGCACTAAGAAAATTACACAATCCCCAAGACAGATATATGCCCATTAGTATGTGGCAAAGGAAGATAACAGAAGACCCTCCAGAGAGTGGAGTACTGAAAATCAAGGAACATTTCTGTACATTCAAGATAGGGACCTTTATGGCTTTTGCCAAGTGGTAATTTAATAAGCTTTTTATTTCTTTGATTTCAGTGAAATGTATTTGCCAATATCCATCATTCTTTCCAAGATATGGTTCTCAGACATACTCTTATTACTTTGCTTTCTTACCCCATCCTCCGTGTCTCTCTCTCCCCCCGGCCCGTCCTCCTTCCCCTAATGCTCCCTTCCTCCCTGCTTTCCTCTGCCTCTTCCTCTCTCTCTCTATCTAGATCTCTATCTCTTTCTATCTTTATCTCTCTCTTGCCATTACTGGTAACCTGAATATACATAAGTTTATGATTTTGTGTGGAAAAGCCACAACTTTAATTTGATCTTTGCCCTGAGTATCCAATTGAACACCTTAATTTTATCTGCCCTGAAATTC